TCTATCAAGTCTCTGTGAGATGGAGTTTTACTCAATGAAAGAACAACTTTGCGGCTCACTTTCTTGCTCATTCTTTAATAGGTGGGATCATCAAGTGGTGTGGAATGAAAGCCCACCTTTGTATATGTTGAGCCTTATTGAGGCTGATATAGATCCACGCTCTTTGGGCCCGTATTGATGAAAAATAAAATAAAATATCAGGTTTCCACAAAAACTTAACGTTGGACAAGTGTCCTTGTCTCCGCCATTGTATTAAATACTTAACGTTTAAGGTTGATCATTTTATACCGCTTTACCATGGTAAATTAACAAAGGCATCCTTACACTTTTTTTTTGCATAAATCTACCCTTCTAATATTGAAACTTAACAAGAATATCTTACCGTCTGAAAATCATAGACCAGGAAACCGGATCGTACCGGCCGGTTCAACCGGTTTAACCGGAAATTGGACCAAAAGCGGCACGGTGGGCTGATTGTGCTGATTTTACCGTGGCGGCCGGTTTTTTCGGTTTGACCAGTTGAACCGGTTGAACCGGCCGGTACGATCCGGTTTCCTGGTCTATGATTCAGCTTCATTCTCCGTATTCTCGTTCAATATGTGGAAAATAATTAAAAAAGAATATTATTTTGCTATTTTTCTATGTTGAAAATGGGTCACCGTGGTTGTATAATGCTTTATTTGGTTCTTTTTTTGATGGATTATATTTTTTATACTATCGCATTTCATTTCTCTATCAATAGTGAAAAACGGTATTTACCGGTACAAAATGGTTGAACCACGGTCGTACCACAAAATACCATACCAGAAAGGAATCCGGTATGATGTCCGGTACGGTTTCCTTTACCATGCTGAAAATGTGTTTGTTGGTCATTAAATGAGGGGAGGGGGGAATGACTCAATTACTCCTTAAACATAGACGTCTCTTTTCTGTAAGAATTAAGAAACAAAAATTACTATTATAAAACCTTGCTCTTAGACTATGATGCAAACCCCAACCTCCTAAAACATAATTCACACTCGACAGTAGACCAAGCTGCACATGACTTCGAGAGGCTTCTTCCGCAGCCATCCAAGGCTTCAAATAATCTCACTTCACGTCGTCTTAACAGAGATCGAAAAGGGATTTGGGGTTGCAGCCAAAAGAGGGGTTGGGGCAGAAGCCTTCCCCGTTGACTAATCGGAAGGGCGATTAATGGAGCAGGGAGAAGTCTCGTTCTCACCCACCGTAGTCTGCAACTTCTATGTCTGCTCTTGTCGAAGTCTGCTACGACCACTGCCAGCGAGCAATTGTGTGCCTATGAAGTAGTTGCCAAGGGATGCATAGCTGAGCCTCAGAGGATTGGCTGGGGTAGTTTCATGAAGATCATAAACTACGACGGGCAGGATGAATGAAGAAAAAGATGAATCCTAGATAGTGGGAGAGGGATAAGAATTAGGGTAATTGTTTTTAATTTAAAGATGACTAATTGGGTCACTTACATTTATAGACGTGCTCTTTAGTCCCCATAAATAATTTTTTCGCATCTCTTTATAATATCATACTTAATTTCTTCTAATCATAATTAAACACCCAAAAATTACATGATCTTGGGTGACATTACTCCTCTTTTACCTTTTTTGTTGTTGTTTCTTTCCACATCATTTATCCAAACCGATAACATTTCACTCGTCAAATTGACGACCTCTTTCCTCTCCCCCTTAATATCATCAAATTTGCCTAGTCGTTGCCCATCGACTATAATTTAATTTTTCCCGCACGCAGCCGCTCTCTCCGACGCTGAAAGTCTGCTGGCAAATTAAGAGATAAATTTATTAGTGTATCTTTCAGCTCGTGGATTAAGGAAGTGAACTTTGCGTACTCGAGAGCTGGAGGGAAGGTCCGTGTTGGCGACGAAACTCTATGGTCAAAAAGTTTGAAGATGAAATCAATGGCGATGGCGATAGGAAATATGCAGATGGAGAAATTAAATTGGTAGCCAATTCTGCCACCATGGCACCACTGATGATGATTTCGTTGTTTTGCATTAGATCCATGACTTTGGAGTCCGTTGGTGGGAATATTTTCCGGATTTATGCTTATGAGATCCGATGGTTGGTCTCCACCTGCGCGGACCATCGTTTGGGAGAAACACTGATGGGCTTTCGGGTTCATCTGTATGGGATTTCTGGGTTTTGGCACTGAATTGAGGAGATCCGTCAATCAATCGATTCCTCTTTTCGAGCCGTCCATTTGGGATTTTTGGGTTTTGACTTATAACAAGGCCTCACCGATGATTCAGTGGAAGAAAAGGGAAGATTGTTCAGAAGAAGCATAGTCGTCGCGCCTGAATCGAGAGGAAACAGGGGGCAGGAGATGGTGCCGCCATTGTTGTTGTCGATGGTTGCTGGAAGGGTTTCGAACGACGATATATGGGTTTAGGGTATATGGGTTTGATTCGACCAAGATGGAATTCAATGCATGTTTAAAATAGGGATTAGGGTTCTTTTCAGTTCGTTTGGTATTGTGTTGTTGGTTATTTGATTTGAACGAGGGAAGAAGTTTGTTCGCAAGAGCTTGAGATTCAATTCAATTCCACTTATGTTTGTGTTAATGTTTCTTCGATTTGCAGGAACTTGACTGAAATTCTGCATATAAAAAACCCAGATGGAATTGGAGGTGCTTATGTGTTTGGCTTTTGGGAATAATCGAAAACAGTTCCAATGGACAAACTTAAACAAAATATGGGTACTTAAATAATCTACTTATGTACGAAATAAGATACTTAATAGTAAAATTAATGATTAAAATTGTTCAAGGACTATAATGTATGTATAATTATTTAAGGGTACTAATACTTATTAAAAAATAAATAATTAAATCAGATTTAACAACAAGCGTTAGATCAGATCAATGATGGAAAACTTTGGAGTATACTATGCGTCTGGAGCATACAAGTCGTATCCATATATATATAATATATTATTTGATGGAACAATGTTGTGCAGACTCATTCCAAGACCATGGTCAACTTTGCCTACTATTCCACAAGACATTTAGTTTTTTACTCATTGACAAAACACACCTTTCAATGATGTCTCTGAAAATAAGTATATACTATATAGTTGTTCCAAATGACGAAAGAAACAACAATGAAGAAAAACAAAATAACCACAACATACACGAAAATAAAAGGAACAACAATGAAATTTTAATTAGAACCAAATCGGATTAGTCGGCCAATCCAATTACAACGTTGATCAATTGGTTTAAATCGTATCATTCGGCCAATCCAATTAGAGATGGCAATGGGCGGGTTTGCCTAACTCATCCCCATCCCCATTACCAAATACCCAAACTCATACCCGACTCATACCCCTAAGGATGGAGGTTTTGTAAAACCATCACATACCCATAGGTTTCGAATACCCATGAGTAATACCCGCCCTGTATAATCAATATTATTATATTTAAAGTTTAACATGTATGTATTCAATTATAACACAAAACATACATAATAAATAGCGAAAATCAGCATAGTTATAGTATTTCTTAATAGGAAAAGAGCATTTAATCCTAAAATATTGATTAATCAATAAAATGAAAATATAATAGGGTTATAGGTATAATATGCCCCTCTACTATAACGTTTTATCAAACATGCCCCTGTAATTTGGAAAAACTATCAAACATGCCCTTCAGTTAAAAATTCCATTGAAAAAATCGTCAATCATGGTTGAACCAAGATTTAGACGACATGACATCGATAAATGGGAGGGAAAATGTCAGTTTTGACCCTTTCTTTATTTCTCTAAGTCTCATCAAAGTGAAATTATTAGAATTATTTGGCTGTACAAAAGAACAAAAAAAACTCTAAAGCGTAATTATTAGAGAGATTTTAGATATTTGGGTCGCCCAAACCAAAGCTCGGTCTTGGTTAACGATTTTTGGATGGAAATTTTAACAAAAGGGCATGTTTGATAAGTTTTTCAAAGTACAAGGGCATGTTTGATGTAAACAATAGTAGAAGGGCATGTTTGATAAAACGTCATAGTAGAGGGGCATATTATACCTATAACCCAATATAATACTATATCAAATCATTCATCTTCGAATCTAACACATCCATATAGTAAATAGCTAACATAAACTTGTCAACTAGACAAAAACTTCTTTTTCTTCTAAAAGATTAAAGTATACTAGACTTTGAAATTTAGGTAAATTTTAAGTTTATTTATGCTGTAGGCAGTTATGTGGCGGGTTGACCATTAGTCAACAACCTTGACTGTCAAAACTAACGGTCAACTCTCGGCCAGTTTGGCCATATTAGTAATGTGTAAGGTTAATTCAGGTCACGATGTGAAATACCAAAAGGATTGTCCAGGATGTTAAATATGAGAAAAGTTCGGGTCAGACAAACACATAAATCCTGGTTTTTATTTTTTATTGCTTACCCTTCATCTCCATTTCTTTATTTTTGCATTTGCCTTATTTGTCCAAATCTAATTAGTATGTTTACTTAATGTGTATTCTCATTTACTAATAAATGGTTAATTAAACAATTTATGAACAGATCTATAATGATTAATAACTAATCCATGAATCACCTTTTCAATTCAATGTCGAGTCAGATTCAAAAACAATATCTACTTAATAGTAGGCTATTATTTTAAACTGAGTTCCACTTCCTATTCTCTTTGCTTTTCTCTAGAGCTTTTCCGTCCCACTAGAACTACAATATTCAACAATTATGCAAGGTTGGTCACTGAGATTACTAATTTTGGTCACTAAAAATATTTAATTCCATTTGTAGTGGTCATTAAAATTAATCAAAACATCCAAGTTTGGTCACTCTCCGTTACCTTACGTTAACACCGTCAGTTTTTGCTGATGTGGGTAACAGAAGTGCCTAATCAGCTAATTTTAAAAAAAAAAAAATTTGAAATCCGACCGACCACGTCATAAACCCAATCCTTCCCTTTCTTCCTCCCTCTTCCCTTCCCCATCTTTCTTCGTCTACAAATCCTGCCAGCGAAAATGAATCTGGTCAGCCCAACTTCTTCTTCCACTACTCTCTTTCCATTCCTATTGTAGAACTCATTCCCGTTGGTCTCTCTAAATGGGGATTTTGTCATAGTGAACCATTCTCGTGTTCGTTCCGCTGTGAGATCCTCAATCGATAAGGAGACGACAAGGGAAGAGGTCGAAGGTAGCATGTCGGGCATCTCCATCTGACAAACCCTCATCGTGCTAATCAACCTCTCGGGCAGCTCCTCCTCCTGTGCCTCCAAGGTAGCATGTAGGATCGTCGTCGTGATTGTCGAGCTCGCGATATCAGCATTGATCTCCAAATACTTCAGTTCCTTGTGGTAATTGACGGTGAGTGCCTTCCCCAACAGGCATGCGCTGTGATCCCCAATCGTCTTCAATTACCACAAGGTAGCATGTCGGGCATCTCCATCTGACAAACCCTCATCGTGCTAATCAACCTCTCGGGCAGCTCCTCCTCCTGTGCCTCCAAGGTAGCATGTAGGATCGCCGTCGTGATTGTCGAGCTCGCGATATCAGCATTGATCTCCAAATACTTCGGTTCCTTGTGGTAATTGACGGTGAGTGCCTTCCCCAACAGGCATGCGCTGTGATCCCCAATCGTCTTCACCATCCAGGGTCCCTTCACAATTCGATTCACAATCTTGAATCGCTGGTTCCGGTACTCGTCGTGGCCGTTGACGAATTGTTTAGCAGGCTCCTCGGGGTGAGCAGATCTGACGAGGAAGCATAAAGCCGCTTCCGCTACTCTCCACCTTAGTCGCAGATCTAGATCTTTGGTGGTGGGGATGGGGAAGCAATGGGGCGAAAGTTTTTGGTTACGACGACTCTGCGAAGGGGATTGAGATTTTGTTAACTTTGGGATTTGGTGGCCGGCGGATTTTGGTGGGTTGGTGACGAAGCCAATGAGGCTTCCAAAAGACGTGGACCTTGGTAATATTTGGATTGGGATTGGTATTATTACTCGTCCTCAGCTGAGCTAGTGTTATGATTTTGCCTAACATGATTCTCATCCGGAAGAATCGAAACAAGTTCATTATACCGAGACTATTGGTTCTTTATACCGAGTGGAACTTTGGGATGTGGTGGGAAACCCGTCAGAACGAGCTTGTCGAAGACTGGACAACAGTGACAAAGCCGATGAAGCAGCGGTGACAAAGCGGCGGGGGAGATCTTGAGTCGAGAGCATTGCCGGAGTAAAGTTGGAGTATGTTTCTGCCGGAACTTCTTACATCGTCGTCAGAGGTCGAAGAAGCATGTGCAGGTGATGAAGGTCCACCAAGTCGGGGTCACGTGTCTTTGTTGGTGGCAGCGGGGGAGACAAAACCATGAATGGTGATTCTGTGTTGGTGAAAGAAGAAAGAAGTAAAGGGGAACAATGAAGAAGAAAGATGGTTTGGTTAACATGATAGGGCCGGTTAATGGGTGGGTTTAATTATGAAAGTTGGGCTAATTAATAGGGTGATGTGGCGGGTTGAATTTTAATTTTTTGGGATTTAAATTGGCTTAGTCAGCATTTCCGTTAGCCATATCAGCAAAATACAGACATTGTTAATGGAGACTGACGAAGACTAATGGAGAGTGACCAAAATTGAACCATTAAAGTTATTTTATTGATCATAAATGGAATTAAATATTTTTAGTGACCGTACATGACCTTTTTTAGTAATCTCAGTGACAACCTTGCAGTTAACCCAAAATTTCAGCTATATATATATATAATAAAGAATGGTATACTCCAAGTGATCTGCCCATTAGATATACTTTGATGAGCTCTTACCAATCTGAACCGTCAGTTATTGTTTTTATTAAATTACACTTTAGGTTTGAGTTTAGAGGATGGGGCCTGGGGTTTATCCATTATGATAGACCGATAATTATACATGTTTTCACCCCTATTCTGAAGCCGTTTGTGATGAGGAATCTCGTGTTTTAAGCCGATTTCACGCTAGGTTATGTGTTTATGTCATATTTCAGGTCCCGGCGTTGGAATCGAGGCGAAGAAACGAGTTCTGGGTCGAAAGGAGCGAAGTTGGGACAAAGTGGGCTGCAGGAGGAAAATACCCGGTCAGGTGGCCAAATACCCGACTGGGTATTCATCACTTTTGGGCGCCCGAGAAGCAGAGAGGGGCCCGGGCAAAACAGCAAAATCCCCGGTCGGGGATTATGGAGAGTGACCGGGGATTCCTTCCTTAAATGAAACGGTGAGTTTTTAAAATACCCGGTCGAAACCCAATATACCCGACCTGGTATTTCGACCGGGTATCGCGACCAGGCAGCTGATAAAAGGAAGAAGAAGGCCAATATTGAAGGGTTCCGAGTTTTTGAGAGAGAAAGCAATACCTAGAGAGAGAAAGCGACGAACCAGAGTTCCCAAGCGCCATAGATCGATCTTCATCACCATTGGAGCCCAGCTTGAGCTTGGAGAAGTGCGATTAAACGTCCAGGAGCAGAAATCCATCTTCACAGTATGATTTCCGCGTCTGAATCTGCTTTTGCTTCTTTCTCTATGGAGTAGTTCCCCCATTCATCTGGGTATGGGGAACCCTACATTTGTATGCTAGGTCTGATTGTATGAACCCAAGTACAGAGTTTGTGAATTGATTATATTCGATTGAGGTTTGAATGATTGAATGACTTGAATCCTGATCAAATTCCTGTTGTTTCTGCTTTGACCTAGAATGAGAATATCTGCCTAGGTTGATAGAGTACCCTTAATCGAAGGTGGCGAATTGGTGACTTTAGTCGAGGAGCCAATTCGCTATTCTGTACCGAATTCAATTCGGTAGTGGAGGTTTGGTTCGTTAGGGCCTCAATCTGTTCACTCCGGTGGAGGTTAGTCGCCCGCTAGAGACTCAGATTGGGAGGGTCTGGAGACCTTTAGTCGAGACTTCAGGCTAATTAAGAACCTTCCGCAGTATAACTTTCATGAAAACTGAACTTGGTAAATTGCAATCCGACTTAACTGCAGTCTAGGGGTAACCATATCCGGGTGACCTCTCTTGATTTGACAACAATCGTTTACTTGCTTTGTGTTTTTGTTTGCTTGAGTTGCACTAAAAGTTCATTGCTAAATAATAAGAATTCACCGAGTAGTCATCACATTTAGGACCCGGGTTGACAATAAAACCCAAACACGCTATACTACGCTTTAGGAAGTGGTTGCACTTGGCCATTTTCTAGAGTGACAGTAGGAGTGAGTCAAGTTTTTGGCGCCGTTGCCGGGGACGGCTAGGTTGTTGGAGAAAAGTGATTTCTGTTACTTTAGCATTTTCATTTTCGCATTGAATTTTTGTTCTTTCCCACTTGTGCCTTCACGGGTTGCATTGCTTGATTGTGTGCAGATAGTGCATGACCCGTAGCCAGTCGGGAGGTTTACTGCCGTTGGATCCAGAGATTGAACGCACCTACAACCAACTTCGGAGACAACAGCGAGTTAGACTGGCTACGGTGGAGTACAGAGACGGCCAATTGAGCAGCGAATCCGAGGACGAGTACGAGATGGAGGGCGAAGACATCCCACAACCGGGGAATGCTCGACAGGCTCCCCCGGTGAATCAGCATCCACCACCACCGCCGGGTCCCTCTTTGGAGTACTACTACACTCCACGGATTGCTGACATCCGCCCAATCATCCTCTATCCACCCATCCCAGCAAACAACCTCGAGATCAAGCCATGCTGGATTCAACTCATCACATCATCTATCCAGTTCCATGGTTTGAAGGATGAGGAAGCCCGGGCACACCTTTCTCGTTTTCTGGTGTTCTGGATGATGCAATCCGCCTTCACCTCTTCCCCCATTCTCTGGCGGGGAATGCTAAGAGGTGGTTGGAGACCCAGCCCCCACTGTCCATCACTTCTTGGGACGATCTGGCTGACAAGTTCGTGCACAGGTACTATCCGGCATCGAAGACTACAGAGATTCAGCGGGAGATCACTCACTTCCGCCAAGAGCCAGATGAGTCACTTCGTGATGCATGGGAGCGGTACATGGGATACTTCTTGCAGTGTCCCCATCATGGCTTCAGCGATGCTTTCACAGTGGGGAACTTCTACAGTGCCCTCACCCCCGACAGCCAGTGGGTGATTGAGTCTCTATGCCCAGGAGGGGATATCCTTACTAAGACTCCACCCGAGCTGAACCAGATGATCAGTACCTTGGCTGCCCGAGATCATTCTTGGGGACAGAACAACATAGGCAGGAATTCCCGGGACCGGGGTGTGCATGCTATGGAGGCCAGGTCCGGGTTAGAGCAGCAGGTGGCTGAGTTGGTGCAGACACTGAAGCAGCCCAACAGTCTCCTTCCGGGCCGAGGTGTAGCTACGCCTCCAGTAGCTCAGTGTCAGTGGTGTGAGAGCCCGAATCACCGGGTGGAGGACTGTCAGGCTATGAGGGAGTCCTCCACACCCCAAGAGCAGGTGGATTTCATTGCAAATTCTCGGCGCCTGGACCCATACAGCAACACCTACAATGAAGGATGGCGCCAGCATCCCAACTTCGCCTGGAGCAGCAACAACACTAAACCCCCTGGTTTCCCAGCACTAGCGGGTGGTTTTCAGCAGAGGCAGCCCTTCCAGGCTAGGCAGGGGCCACCACCTCAACAGCAGCCCTACCAGCCTAGGCAAGGGCAGCCATTCCAGCAGCCCCAGGGCCAGTTTGCTCAGCCTCCAGCAGCCGCAGCTCCCGATAATCAGATGGCTGATCTGAAAAATATTTTGGCGACATTCATGACCACCAGCCAGGCGAATTTCACAAGGGTGGACCAGAGCATAGCCTCACTGGAGGCAGGCCAGAGAAACCTGGAGGCAGGACAGAGGAACCAGGGTGCTATACTGCAAGATCTCCAGCACCAAGTCGGTGTCCTAGCGCGCCAGCTTACTGCTCGGGCCCCGGGGACTCTACCTGCCACCACCATCCCCAATCCACGGGACCCGCACGAGCAGCTGGATGCCATTTTCACCAGGAGCGGCAGGCCTACATCAGCTGATCCTGCCCCGACCAAGCAGGAGGAACCACTACCTGCTTCAGCACTTCCAGCCGGTGATGCAGAAGTGCAGGTGGAGAAGGAAGCCCCTGCTCCCAAGCCACAATCAGTGGTTAAGGAGCATGTACCCCAGCTTCCCTTCCCCACTCGCCTTCACAAAGACAAGCTGGAGACTGAGTTTGCCAAGTTTATGGCAATGCTGAAGCAGCTCAACATCAGCATACCATTTGTGGAGGCACTGTCGAAGATGCCCAAGTACGCAAAGTTCATGAAAGATCTCCTCACCAACAAGAAGACACTTGGGGATCTCTCGACAGTGCTGCTGAGCGAGGAGTGTTCTGCCATCCTGCAGAACAAGCTGCCTGAAAAGCGCAAGGATCCAGGGAGTTTTACTATCCCTCTTACTATTGGCAGCATGCATGTAGGAAAGTCCTTGGCGGACCTAGGCGCTAGCATTAATGTCATGCCATACAAATTGTTCAAAAAGCTAGACCTAGGTGAACTTAGCCCTACTAGGATGAGCATTCAGCTAGCTGACCGTTCCGTTGTGCATCCTAGGGGTATCATAGAGGATCTGCTTGTTAAAGTGGGTGCATTCACATATCCTGTTGATTTTGTTATTCTGGATATAAATGATGATGTGGATGTGCCTTTGATTCTGGGTAGGCCATTTCTTGCCACCGCCAAGGCATTGATTGATGTGCATGATGGTAAACTGATTCTGCGTGCTGGAAATGAACAGGCTACTTTTTCTGTGACTGAGTTTGATCACTGTGCTATGATTGCTGTCACCCCTGTGCATGCTATTTCTGACCAGATACACGAGCCTGTCGTGTATCCCTCTGCACCTCCCATTTTGCAGGACCCCCCTCTCACTCCTTCGCCGCCGCTCTCTCCAGCCTCATCACCGAATAAAAAGCTCAAGGAGGAGTGGCGGTCGAAGCAGCATGTTGCTAAGCCTGCACGGAAGAAGGGTGGAGACCACTACGAGCAGGACCCGCCCCCTGCACCACGACCACCTTGGCCGTCCGAGTACTCACTCGCCTGCATCTTGCCGGATGGCCAGGTCGAGCTGACCACTGCTGGTGGTTGCAACCGTCGGGTGCACGGTCACCACCTGAAGCTGTACCTCAAGAGCGACGTGGATCCGCTCTTGGAGGCACCTGTTCCTGCACCTCCCTGAGTATCCACCATGGGCGTCC